TGTGACCTCACGTACGTTTTTTCTATATCAAATCATATTAGAACACACAACATTTGGTCGTGAAATGTCCGGAAACATGTTGAATGTTAAATAGGTGTAATACTAAAGGAGCTAAATCTCTTTAATTTGTGTCCAAAAAAAGTGTTGAATTGAGTTCATCTGGCGTTGTTTCAAACAGGGATGCATCAACATCTAAAAGGTGCATTTTCGTTTCGAAAGATTGAGTGGTTTGTTCACTAATTTCAGTTTCATTCTGGTTTAAAATCTGCATCATTTCCAATGAAGACTGTTTGTCATTTAACCAAACGATTCAACATATAAAAAAAATACAGTCAATTCAGTGCGTTTTATCTAAATCAAAAGGTAGTGTCATTTTAAGAAGCAGAAATAAACATATGTATTATGTATTGTTTATGAAATAATAAATTGTCCACGGTTATTCCAGATATCTTCTATGTACTGCAGCTACCTCTCCTTGTCCTTGTCTGAACCTATTATCTGGAAGTAGTGACTGGTCCCTCTGCATTTCTGAGTTATTTTAGTGTCTAATATAATATTATTTGGGTTTTGAAAAGAAAATCAGACAGGCATTTAAAGTTTGAATGTAGAAAAATTTATTAATACAACATTGTGTGTGACATATCTTTAAGCACATAAGGAGAGAATGGGAAGGGGTCGAGGGCGTCGATATTCTTTAAAGAGGGTGTCATGGTTTCTAGTACCCGTTACTAGAGAATTTGTATGGAATCGTGAAATATGGGAGACTATAAGAGAAAGTTTATTGAGGATATAATTATTTGTGGGTTATTGTTGTGTGAAATTAGACCCAAAGTGTGGACCTGGAAGTAGAATTTCTATAAAGAATATGTAGTTTACTGTTTGACTGAATTAGCGAATAGATGAATAGTTGAATGTGGGTGTATTGGATCTAAATCACTATTAGTAAGAAACTGATCTTGGATATTGATTACAGAGTTTAGCTATTAGGATTTCCCTTTATAAATCCGCCACCCTGTCTTTAACTTACTAATGTCATTTGTGAATGTGAAAAAAGAAACTGTGTACGATATGAACACGGTAATATGTATAAGCTGTTGTTGAACCTGTCGTAATAAAGCATACTATATATTGACGCTGTAATACATTATAATCTGAAACTTACACAAAATAGTTTCAAATTGACATGTCACCATATTAAAATGTTGTATTGAGTGGTTTATAATTTGGTATTGAAGTGGTGTTTTGTGGGTGGCTATCTTGTACCTGGAACAATTATCTGTAATCACAACATCAACCACTTGTTAGCAGTATCTACTTCAAATCCACAATCTGCTCCATCCCCTAAGAACATCCCATAATAGTGTCCATTTTAGTTTCTTTATCTAAAGCGCTATAGGTCTCAATGCAGATTGACCAGAATTCGTATCACTACCAGAAGAACATTGGAAGACGCTTTTGGTTCCATTAATTGTGGTCATATAGATACGAACTCCGAGTTCTTAATAAAAGTACGGTTGATTGTGTTTTGTCTGTCTCAAACTATTTTATTTAACCATTATACAGTGACGTATCTACGGTATGGTAGGTAGGGTACGTGCCCTGGGTGCCGCTAGAAGAGGGTGTCATCGAGAAGTAACGGAAGTAAGACTATTGCATCAATGAAAGCACGGATGGTGTATAATTGTAATATTAATGTAGTGCCATAATTGTTTTAGTTAAAAGATTAAAGTAGCCAAGTCTCTAACTCATTATCATCCAAAATCTTCGACCTTGTAATCACGAATTATTTGTCAATTTAAATCAACATTGATGTTGTGATCTTACCGGGAAAAGATGGGCTTCTGATATCCAATATTTAAGACAAAATAAACATTTTACCATGGTACACATGCGTTTCAGCGCCATTTGTAATAAGGGACTCGAATATCGAATAACGAGGCTAAGCATATTTCCACAAGTCATGTAAAACCGTGACGCCTTATTCTTATCTTTCCGGCGTGGTTTTCCCTTGTCAGTGATGTAGGACGGAGGGCCTGACAAGGGCAGCTGTCTAGTCGCTCGGATGGGTCGAAAAACCGAGGTCCCGTGTACACATTGGCCGTGCACGTAATAGATCCCTTGGTAGTTGGAATTCGATATAAGAGTAGACCGTAGCGCCGCTGCCCGGGCAAAATTTCCCTCATAGCACACTGTATGACGTATGCCCGTCTTCATTAGCCCAGGTTAGGAGCAGAACAGTAGGACGTTAAACCCCATTTCATTTCATTTCACTTATTCTTATCTGGAGAGCATGCACAATAAATACTAACGGTGTAGACTGGAATAACCAGACGCTAGAGATTGCCATTCGATTGAGACTTCTGGTGTATTTCGCCAAAGGTAACTGATTAGAAATAACAGTAAAACAGAATCGATTGAATGTAAATCAGTTTATATATATTCATATTACATTATTATATGCGTTGCGAACCATTTGTGTCAATTTCTAGGTCCCAAATATTAGCGATTTAGCCCCTTTAACGAGATTAATCTATAGTTTTGAGCTGATTTTATGGTAAAGTTATCTAAATAAAAATAGGTGTCAGATCTTTATACAGGAATGCAATTCCAGTGCTTGCCATAGGCGCTATTTTCCGTCGATACACCACTGCCTTTATGATGGAATGTCCAAATAAAAAATAATAAGCAAACCAGATTAGATTCAGCCATGGAAATTGGACTTTCAAGCCTCGCAGGATAGATTTTGGCTTTAATATGCTATATGAACCAGAGTCATTTGGGAAGGAATTAAAAATGTCACCAAATGGTCACTTGAGTTAACTATTTTAACACAACTCTGATCTCAGTATACAATTGTCTACATACTACTCAAAATACTGTTTTGTTCGTACAGACCAAGTTGTGTTGCTTGAATCTATATAGACGTTTAAACAGACACCATTTTTTAAAACATAATGTTGATCAGTCTTGAAAGATTAGTGAAGATTAGTCAGTGGAGACTGTATAGTGTTTCCATTCATTAAAGAGACTCTCGCAGACATCGAATTTCAGTTTTAGAAATGAGGAATGAATGTACAAATAATCACTTCTTTACCCCTCATATTATGATATATTTCTTTTTTAAAATTCCAGTCACATATTTTGTGCAAAAACAAAAATTCTAAAACAGTATTAGGTGACGTACAAATAAATATCATAGTAATGTATTGTCGGGCAACACTCGGGCTTCTGTAATAATTCCCAATCCACGTCGACATTTGTAATCGGATTTTAACCCCATCAGAAAGGTTTTTGTCACAATTAAGCACCTCTTACCCCCATAAAACAAAAGAACCCGAAACAACCATACCGTCTAGTCGTAGCTCCTGGGATGTTTGGGACAATTATGTCAATCATGTATCCTCTGATTGTTCTTGTGTATCCCTTTAAATACAATACCGGAAGTGAGTGTTTCTCTCGTCCTTTTTGAATCACCTTTAGAAGATATGATTATATTAAGTACATGTACATGTACAATCAGGTAATTAGATACTATATCGTGTAGCAAAGTAAAATTTAAAAAAAGAACTTAATTCTATCTTATTTCAAATTTCATGACCTCATTAATTATGCTGTGGAAATACACTTTGATATCTTAATAGATGTTTTATTTAATTCGGCTAGCATGTGACAGTAGAAATATTCTGCTGAGTAGCAAGGGTGAAATCAAGGATTAACACTGTCCAACTTTAGTTCAATATATCACCAGTTCACCTTCATATTAGCTTCTGTTTTATGGCGTTTTAAGACACAAACCAGCAGTAAGGCTATATCCAGTCATGAAATATTTAAGTATGGTGCGCCATTTTCGACAATTATAGGAGAAACGGGTGGGTTAAAGCATTGGTATTGTGCAGGGGATTGTCCGGTGATTAAAGATTGATTTCCGGTAGGACATAAGGCTACGTGTTATGCTTCTCACCGAAATGCCCCCTTTCCGAATTTGCTATTATAAGAGGATGCGTTGCCCAAATGTGCATTCCATACAATCCATGCATCGATCTCTAGTATACAAAAAATGAAACCCAGTTCGCCTTTTCTTGATGGTCTCAGACTAGTATTTACTAGTGCATCTATATATAATACCTACCCCCCCCCTCTTCTTTCTTTCTTTCGTTCTTTATTTCCCCTAGTTTTAAAATGGCATTTGTGTTGACTTTTGGTCTAGAATCGAACAAGAGTGCTTGAATTTATATTTTCCGCCAATTTTTCGTGAATGGTCATGACGTATCAGTAAACAGACAATAATTAGGGAATCACATACAAAAATGGCGCCATAGCCTATAGATTCCTTTGACCGGGCATGGTCTACCCCCTTCAATATTTTTGGGGACTTTGTGGTTATACATGTTGAAACAAATGTTATAGGCCAAGGAATGCATAGATTTAACATTGAAGTCAATGAGGAGAGTATTATGAACCCTGATATCATTTAAATAAATGGTGGCCCTTGTTTAATATCTGTGTTTTGAACCGGGAAATGTATAGAGTCAATCTGCTGTTGCTTTTGGGTATTACTTTAACTCGATCCTGGATACCTTATTAAAGGGTAATGCCATTGACTTATAAAGGTTGTAATTAGCGACCCCGCAGTCCATAAGCTAACCGAATAGCTTTGTCTTACCCTATATCACTAACACTATAATCAGTTGTATTCTTTACTCACAAATCTTTTCAACGTTTCTTTACTTAAATATTAGGATAACCCTTCACCTCAATCCGGGTCTTTGTTTGGCAGTGTTTTACGAGGAGAGAGCCCATCAGTAATGATACACCACGTCAGTGTATAAATCAACCCCCCGATTCACCCTGATCTATCCACATCCAAATCAGCCGACAGATAGACTCACATATAGCTGAAATAATACCCTCACTATTTAATACCATCCATTGAAGAAGAACTCAAAGGGTTAAATACACTTTAAACATTTTTTATTCAATAAATAATATCATTTTACAATAGAATGATAGGTAATTTTCGCAATGTCTCCAACCATAATTGTAAGTCAAGCGTTTTAAAGACAGAAGATTACATTCTTATTGCTATTAACCTATAATATGACAAATAACAGTTATTGTTTCACCAAAAATATTAACATAGCATTCGCGTTTAATTTATGTGACTATAGACAATATAGTTATAATGACAAGTCTGTCTGTTTGGCATGATAGCATCAAATATCTCTCATAATTATAGACTCCGTGTTACATAGAATTACCTGTCATTTTGTTGTTTGCGCAGGCATATATACCAAATGGCACCCTTTTACCATTGTTTTGCTTGTCAAAGTAGGGATTTCTTTCCAGCTGTCATCGCAATAATCCCTGAAACATATGGACACATAAAATTACATGAGTTTTCAGTGTCAAAAAAAAAAAAAACGAAAAAAAAACCCCATAACAAAATGAAATATAAAAACCCCTTTACTTTGAAATTTAAAAATTAATTCATACAAATTTCTCGAATATGAACACCATTTAAAGAAGTGTCAAATACATGTGAAATCAGGCTGTATTTAAATTTGATCTTTTAGCACTTGCTTGTCGTTTATCAAATCTTTTGATTATATGTTTGTTCTATTCCATAATAACATCAAAAATTAGGTTTATTTATCCAATATTAATCAGGGTCTTAATTTTTATTGTTGGGACCAATATTGGAATTTCAAAGCTTCGCCATCTTATACTTTCACAATTAAAGGGATATAACACCCTTTTCTAAGCTCCTTGGTTATTGTTCAGGTTCATTATAACAATACCCTCCCTCTTCAATTGATGTAAAACATGAACATTTCTTTCATCTTATATTATAATAAGGTCATTAATATTCATCATAAACATATTTCAAAGTAACTGTAATCAGATAACATTATTTTGAAATAACGCAAAAAATGTTAATAATTATCATTGCCTATGTTTGTTCCCAAATCAAACCATATTGTTAGATACAATGTTATACATTATTGAATAAATTTGCGATTTACTTGTAATCGGTAGTCAGTCTATAGAAATAAAAATTAGTTTATTATGCAAAAATTAATTTAAAAAAGCGAGAAATGATAGCTGACGGATTATACTGATAAAAAAGGCAGACTATGTTTTAAATTAATGGTAGAATAACGTTTATGTATGTTTTGAAAACGAATATATCTCTTATCTGACAGAGTAAAAAACCTCTTTTGATTAAAGTTGCTTTGAAATAATTTTATGACGAATATTAAATACCTAATTATAATATTAGATAAAACATATATTCATGTTTTACATCAACTGATAGGAGAGAGTATCGTTATAATGAGACCAATGGAACTTATTCTTGAAATTTTTGTATTTAGATGTAAGGGTCATCTAGACATTAAATAAAACGGTAAAACACAATCTGTTCTTTTACAGTCACCATTGAAGCTTTCAAACATTATATGACAATAGACAAACAACTAAAATAGTATAATTGGGCTAGTCTTTGTTTTCATTTATTGGAGGAATAAAATAATAATAACATAACAATTACATATCGGGTGAAATTGTTATGAGTATATTACGCAGATATGTTAAAATAAATTATATCTTATCATATACTCATTTTTCAATGAAATAAAACGAAATTATGTAACAGAGTTATAATTGCAACGAATTTGCCTAGGCTGTTACTTGTTTTTAAAATAGGCCCACCCGTTTTATTATCCCACAGTAAACTAGTTTGTTTGCTTAGTCTATTTTAAGAAAACTATTTCCTTTAGTATAAATAAAATTGTTATTCTACACTAATTGCATGATTACGAATACTTACTATAATTCAATCAAGTAAATTAAAAATATAACGTATTATAATTATTTATATAAACTATTAACAAGAAAATTGTTGGCCGCACAAAAACTAAAATATTAATAGAATTTATTAGGAATACAAAGCTGACAGGCGCACGCTATTATTCAATATATTTATACAGATAAACAGGTTTTAATTAGAACTATCAAATATACCCTGAATAAATACAACTCTCTTTTGTTAACAGAAAACTTGGTCTACTTACAAGAAATCAGAAAGTACGTGTTTTTAAAATTTGTGTATAGATCTTTCACCGCCATGTTCACCAATACATATTATTAGCCAACAATCTTACTTACAAGAAAAGGGGCATACACGAATAACGAAAATTCAGTCCTGTATTTGTATACAATAATATTATATATAAATTGAAGAAAAAATAAACATGGTGTTTTATTTATATTCACGTCTTATTCAGAGCCAGTGTAGCCTACATCATACTCACGTAATAAGGATTTCGTGTCAATAAGTGCATCATTTAAGAAGAATCAAATTTAGTTATTGTTCAAAAATAGTACAACACAAAACCAATTTACTAAGATTTGAAAAGCTAATCAATGAAAATAACAAATTGCAAAATATGTATAAAAATAATTAAATTTGCAAATATGTGACAAACTCTACTATTTCTATAGATATTTTACATTCTTAACATTTACCATTATTTTCATATTTCAAAACAATAAATTAGTAAATAGTATGTAATGAATCTAATTATTTCCAGAAAATTGTCCGTAGTTTCTGTCTACAGTTATTATTTATGAAATATAAAGACATTATTGTGGCTTTGTTAGTGCATTTATTTAATCAGATACCTTGTTTTAGAATTCACTACGCCAGACTGAAATTAACATATTTTCTAAATAAATTTTATTATCTCTAAAAGCGTTACTTGATAAACGCTATAATATATTAAAAATTAAAAACAATGAAATATATTCAGTAAAACAGACATTGCGTTTACTTAAAACTGCCGACATTGAATTTAAAATTAACGAAATCCAACTATTCACAGACAATAACTAAAAATATATCACCAAATAATATTATTGATTGTCGACTCTAAAAAACGGACATACTATTATAATGTTATACAACATTGTAAATATTTTATAAAATATACAATATTTGTGTATAAGAATTCTAATATCCTACAATCGACTAACGTCTAACTATGCATGTATTCTTGTTTCGATGTCACGCCCAGGGGGAAAATGGCGACGAAGTTTTGTTTGGATTTAGAATTTGTTCATAACTCATGTTTCGATCAGATTCATTTGTTTCAGATGTAAATTTGAATTCAAACATAAAATAATCTAAGAACTGTTACGACACCAAGTTAAAAATATGAAGATTTCTTTAGATTTTACTACAATACAATCCTTATAGTGTGGGTCTATTTCTTTTATTTTCTTAGAATAGACGGTCACTTTCAATAAATGTTTTTATAAAACACAAATATTGAAACACCCACAGAGAGGCATAGGCGACTTAGAAATCTTCAGAAAACTGAACCTCCTAAAAAGTTTAGAAGTCTCTAATTTTGCCTTTCTTGGTTGAAAAGTCTCTTATTTTTAGTTTTTCAGTAGAAAAATCAATATATTTAATGAAAATGGCAAGCATATACCCAAATAATATGTGACGCAAACAGTATTTTCTTAATGTAACCGTCTCCTATAGTTGTTACAGTAAAACGGTTGAACCTTGGGAAAGAGTAAAGAATTGAGCACATTATCATTCTTTTAAATATAGAAATAGCATATTTATGATTTATTCTCATGAAATCTAGTTCTCAATTTATTGTGGACATTTCGTCTACAAATTATACAGCTTGGTGCCCGAAATATAAGATGGAAATTATACATTCTTATACTCGGATAATAATCGCAAAATTCTCAGTGGTGTCACAATTTTTAATTAGGAAGCTGAGAAAATGAAATACGCCTTACATTTAATCTATAGTCTGGTGAACTGAACTAAAATAAAATAAGAGATATTTGAAAGACTAAAACACAAAATGGCGCCTGTTAAGACCCGCCTTCAGACTGTACAAGAGTGACAGTTTGTGAAACGATAAGAGATAATTTATTGTCTTGTTGATATTAGAAAAAAAGGTGAGGTGAGAAAAGGTAAATCAAGATAGGACTTATTGTCCCCACCCTCTTCACGTTAATAATAAACCAAGCCCCACCCCCTGACAACCATATAAATTGATTTCTCTGCCACATCATTGATTTTCCTCTATATAATATTTTAAAAGCAAAATAAAAAGCATCGATTAACTATCATTCCCATTTATATCTTAATTGTATTGACACAAAAACGTTTTTTCTCCATTTCAGGAGCAATAAAAATAGAGATTCCTTATTTACAAGAATACAAAGGACAAATAAAACATAATACGTATATTCAGTTCTAAAGATGAATAAAGTGCTTAACGACATCTATAAAACGCCTTTTAAACAAATATACAATCGTCATGCATTATGTGTTGGTGTTAAATAAGAAAGAAAGTTTAGAATCACCAAAATATATTTTATAAATTTTTTCTTCTATAAATAGTTATCAATAATTAAATATTTAATTCATACTATTTCACTTGATGATTTCTGTCACACGACCAGATTACCTACTTTCATGTTGGAGCAGAACAAGGGTACGTTAAACCCCATTTTATTACATTCACCTTCTTTCAAATTTCGTTTAATTTACAAAATAGATGTTATAAATACGACTGTAAAAATGGCTTAGTTTTCTAAGTGTAAATCTCTTCAACTAAAGAACTTCAACTGGGACGCCTTGTTTTATGAAATAACCATAGAAAATACGTACCAGATAAACAAAAACCCTTGTCTTTTTCTTTTACCATTTCTATCGATATAAAATAACCTGAAATGATAAGAAAATGAATTTACAGTAAATGAATTATTTTGTGATTAACTATATATAAGTATAATTTTACTTATAAAAGAAAGTATTAGTAAACATCGATCGCCATCATTATATAGTAATATGGCGCAGGTTTTTATTCAGCAGTGAACACCATGCATATTAAATGGTGATTCCAATCCACAGCAAATAAAACCCCAGATGTTTTTGTCAATATTTAAACCTTAAACATACGTGCTTCATTTTGAAAGAATAATAAATGTCTTTATTAAAATAAAATAATTGTCAGAGGCAATTACTTTATTTTTAATTTTCAATTATACAAAAAAAAAAAAAAAAAAAATTAACGCAATACAATAATATGATTTTTTTTCTTTTTGCAACTTTGTAATCGTGCCATAAAGACTTTATATTTCATCTTAAAATATCCAGTCGTTAATTGCAATTGATGGTATTCATGATTAATAGACGTGATTATTCCAGTGAGAAATATCATCTTGGAGATTGAACTGTGGAAACTGACATGAATAACAGACATATTAACTACAAGTGTTCGAACAAAGCATCTTCCACAACCACAGCCACTAAATCAACTCTATAAACACTTGTTGAAAACCCAGGAGTATTTTGACAAACCCATCGACGAAGATGAATTCAAGTTAACACGACATGGTAGTGGAGTATTTCAATTATCGCTGTGGGAATTCAAAGAAAGAATGTTTAGAATTTTTCAGAATTGCATATTTGGCAGTTTTGTTGCAAAATTTACGCTTTATATCAATTACCTGACTAAAAATTTAAAAAAGAAATTATATTGCGAACTTGTACATTTGAAATGGGAGGGGAACTCCTCGAATCCTGGTCAAAATATAATCCCAAACCCTAAACTTTGTAATTGATCAATTTGATTTTTAAATTTAAAGAAAATAATAATTATAATAATTATAAATAATCACCCCCCCCCCCTCGCATAAAATTGAAATTTCGCCATCTTAATGAAGTAATAGAAACCTTGCTAAAAACTTGACAGGATTTGCTCTTTAAACACAACAAAGAAAAACGCACGTGTGAGATGTCGAAGAAGTTTTGCATATTCTCTCGTAAATGTTCGTTGTAACGTGATTTACCGAGACGTCACATAAACTATATGGAGGATGGTAAATTGGGCTGGATGTGTAGTTATGTCCGATTTTTGACGTTTTCTTGACATTTTCACACTCTGGAAATTTACAAGTAGAGAGTTATACATAATTTTAACACTTTTAACCTGTTAAGCATACATACTTTATGAACCTATATTCAGATACATTCATTAATGTTACACAAAGATTTTTGCCTACAACAAACTTTGGTTTTGTTCCTTTTTAATTGTACAGTTAATTTGTTAAAACTTTGAATCTGAATAATTCCAAATAATTACACTTGTTGATATAAAGCCTATTAATGTCTGTTACTGTTTGTTGTCCCCTGAACCTAATAATATGGTTGTACATTTTCAAAAATAATTCTCTTTACAAATCGTCCCAAGATTTACAATTTTATTAAAGATTTAAATGATGATAATGAGCCAATGCGAAACTTGATAAAAATTTGTTTGATTATGAAGTTGGTTGTTATCTTTGATACGACACCATCAATATTACAGATCATTTAACGTAATTTGGTTTTCAAACAGTTTTCCTTAATTCCAATAATACAAAACCGTTTACAGTTACAAATAAACCTAAACAAAATATTTTATCATTTGATTAAATCTGTATTCGGTTGGATGAATGAATGAAAACTGAGTTAATTTGAATATTTTCAATAACTGTATAGGACTTAGCAAGTAGTTTCAACAAGTTGATCAAATCAGTTTAAACGTCAATCATCTATCATTGACTATTATACAACTATTTACAAATAACACTTGAAGTTACAATATATATTAAGTTATTGGCATCTGTTACCGGTGTGCTTGTGTATGTAACTCATTTGTGAAATTGACCTTTCGACCACGTTTCGATCGCCGCCATTGTCGTTTGTTTACACGTGGATTAAGAAGTAAGTGACAACGAGTTTTCACTTATAAGCCAAACATTAAGCAACCATTCTTTCACTTAGATTTCTAAAAGGACCGAGTAAAACGACACGAAATTTAATCAGTTTTATTTAAATGAAAAATCTGTGTGCTGAGTGAAAATCGACATTTTAGATCATCAAATCACAAGACTCCGGTTGCCTTTTCTTTTCTATTCATCCAGTGAAAAGAAGTGTTGATTACAATCAGTCATTTGAAAGAAATGAAAAATGGCAAACGTCGATTGGTAAAGTCGAAACACGCGGAGGAATATCAACAAGTTAATGGATGTTTATAAAGGAGCACGCGCATCGTTTTCTAATGCAAACTGCGTATAAATTTACTCTCAAAATACACTAAATCTTTCCTTTTCTTTAAAAAAATAACCATCAATGATTTTCACTTGACTCAGAATAGATATGTTAATTAGGCAACCTAATAGTTTCTTGGGATAATGAAGTGGAAATAAATACCATAGGCCATAAAAGTCATAAAATGCTGGAATAAACTCAGAGTTAATAAACCATAGCTTTATACAAAACACGAGTTTTGAAAAAGATATTTTACTGGCTACCTAGTTTCTACTTAAACGTCAATTAAACAATTAATGTTAGGCGACACACTTTTAAAGGTCATTTCGGTACCTTTCGCATGCTTGAAATTCAACAATATCTGTATCTACTATTTCCTGTTTAAAAATCAATAAACACCCTCCCTAAGCAAGTTCGTCCAGTGCCCTTTCTTTTATTAAACTGGCCTACATTATGAGCATTTGACTCCGGATGTTCTAAATCCACGAATTTCAAGTTACACCTTTTAATCGGTTTGACAAATCGAAAAGAAAGAAATATGTTTGTAATGATCCTGTAGAATATTTCTGTAACAATCATATAGAAAGCATTTCAACAATCTGCCAACAACACAGACTACAACGACCCTTTTTCTTTATACACCAGGGGAACCATTATAGATACTTGAGTTGCTCTTTTGGTATATTCCTGAAGCAATACAATGGTAACTAATACTGTCAAGAACTGAGATTTTTAGTAGAATTTTCAGAAAGCCACAGCCAGTTAAATTTCGTACCATTTACAAGCAGTGCTCGTCATAGATGCACTATCAAGATCACCCAAAAAGTTACAACATATTCAGAAAAGTGTCCCCGTAAAAGCGCCATTCTCACTTTTGAATGGAAGCAAGTCAGGCACGTCAAAGGAATTAACGGAATATGATATTGAATACCTCTACATGTGTCCTCAATATATAAAAAATGTGTAAAGATATGTCATGATTGATGTACCATAGTATTAAGTCATAAATAGTCTGCTGCTCATGGGTGATATTACTTAATTCTCCTAAACTCAATAACAAAGCATGTAACTGAAGATATTTTTAAGTAAAGGAGAAAATTGAGATTATATATTTCTCATTATAACGACAATAAACTGTTTGTTTATATAATAACCAAATCCTTAAAATGATATTTTTCGGTTGAAAGATCAACCACAGTACATGTATATAAGTAACCGTACATGTAAATAGTATGTCTAATAAATCTTTTGTACCATGTACATATAGAAATCCTGTTGGAATACGTGTATAAAGTCTATACGATGTTAAGTGTTGAGAGAGAGTTTTAAAAAAGGTCGATGGGCAGGTATTAAATAGTATTATGGCAGCTCAGCGGGATACAAAGTAAAATGAGATAATAAATTAAACTTCATAGAAAATTGAGATTTAACGACCGAAACCAATGTCATATTAGCCTTAATATCCACTCTTGGTGAAACGTTTATTAACGGGAGCTGCGTTTTTTGTCAGAAAGATCCAGGTTTGGCTAATTTCTGATTACCGTCGATATGCCCCCCCCCCATTTTAAATTCATAATTAATAAAGCTATATACATATACCCAGAAACATGTTATTGTATAATTATACTTGAATAGAACCAGAAATAACAAACCTAGTTTTATGGCGATTAATGTTAGATACGTGCTATTACTTAACCTCTTAACAGATGGGATGTACTGGTAGCTTGAAAATTACTATTTAATGGCTTCATGTCATATTTTCATGATCTCATATGTATCGGAACGAGAAAGAGTTCCAAGCAAGAACATGGAAAATCTTTTTGAACAATGATATATCAATCAAACGATTAAATTTCCTTTTTATAAAACGATTCGATTAGACAAAATGACGTCTTTAAAACATACGAGACATACCAGCTTAGGTCTGTGACAAGCCAATGGAAATATTTCTAAAAGATAATTTCCAGCTGTTATTCGGGTAGTGCGATATCGTATAGTTAATGTCAAACAGTTACCAATCAAGCACCAAGAAAAGCTGACGCGTGTTGGTAACAATTGTGTAAAATCCAAATTCATCTCGGGTTTGGGTCTCGTGAACCAAATGATCGTTCACATGAGAATGACAAGAATTTGAATGACACGACAATAATATTAATAGATAGTTTTACTATGAATGTGATACAGCTATTAAATGAGAATATCACTGGTTGATAATAGTACAGACTATATGGAATTACATACTGGCTTTAATTATGAAGTGTGTCCTTTATATGAAACTATGTTGATCTACAGACACTGATAAAGCGGCAGTTTTAAAAATGCAACATATTCATACTTCAAATACTTACACTACATAACAATAAGAACCGTCTTCATTAAAATCATGATATTAATAACTCAATCAAATGCTAACAATAATTGACATTTTGGCAACATCTTTACCGGGAGTTGGTTTCAGAACAGTTCAAAGAAGATGTCACTAAGCATCTAGAACAGACTTTAGAAATCGCGGCAATGCCAATAAGGATGAAAACGTTTATACGATGGTAGAAAAATAGCTTAGTTCCGAGCATTATACTTTCTCATTTCAAATTAAGAAATGAAATGAAATGAAATGGAGTTTAACGTCC